CCCGCTGCTCCCCTCAGCAGTGTACTTCATCCATCTGCCTGTTCTGCTTCCCGCTCTGTCTCTGGTGAATCCTCTCACCCTCCGCTTCTCTGGCCTGTACCCCAGTTCTGTATGAATAAATAAGTAAATCTTAAAAAAAATCAATAATAGGACAGTAAGGATATGTAGGTATCTCTTAGACATCTTGGAAATTAAATAGCACACTTAGAAAAAATCAATGAGCAAAGGAAAAAAAAATCACAAGGCAAATTTTAAAATATTTTTAAGTGATAATGAGACTGCAACCTACCCAAATGTATGTTGGGGATGTAGCTAGAGCAATACTTAGAGGGAGAATTATAGTTGTTACATCAGAAAACAGGTCCAGGTTCTTGACTCCTGGCTGTTGACATCACTCATATGTACATTTATTTAGTAACAGACTTAATGTGGACCTACAAATTCAAGTCCTGGGACTACCAACGATGTGGTCCTGTCTTTATGATGCTCAGTCGATGAGACCAACAAATTCATATAAAATTAGGATTTGTGATAAATATCTAACAGTCGGGTTCAGTGATAGCAACTGATTGGTGATCTAGCAAATGTGATCAGACAAGGCCTTTTAAGAGGTGACATTTAAGGGAGGAAATAATGAGATGCTCAGCTAGCCAAGCTGGAAAGCAGAACAAGAATTTTCTGGCTGCTCAGATGAGAAGGCCCTGAGTCTAAAAGTGGCATAAGACCTGTATGGCCAGAGCCTGATGTGGGAGGAGGAGGATGTAGGTAACTACAGAGATGAACAGAGGGTAGATCACATGAAGTCTTAGGTGCCAAGGCAAGGGGGGTTGGATTTTAGTCCCAGGCCATGGGAAACCATTGCCATGAGGGTAGATGGAGATAGGTGTGAGGGTTGAGCCTCACTGCAGTAACCTGTTATTCAAGGTCACATCCTCTGAGCCTGAGCTATTTAGCAAATTGACTCCAAGAACCTATGGAATGCCTGCCCACCCCCCTTCCTAGAATCCACATGCTCTCTCCATTGTAGCCCAGCTCACCCTCACTCCTCCTTCATGACAGTTCTGAGGTGTCATCTTCTAACAGCTTGCCCTGAAACCTTTTGCAGAGGTAAAAGTTCATCCCCTTTGCTGAAGATGAGGAAGCATGTCACTAGTTTCTCCCTTCAAATCTACTGCAGCTCCAGAAGTCAGTTGCTATTAAACCTCAGAGGAACAGAAGCTCAGGGAGTCTTACATACCGGTCAGAAGTCTGAGGGCCAATGTCGCAATCTGAGATCTGGTTGTACCCAAGACCTGTGATCCGAACTTACTACCTCCCCCTTCTATGTTTTCACAATCCCCTGGATACCCTCTACTTAAAACTCATCTGTAAGTTCTGTAAGGTCCTTACCTGCATTCCCTGTTAAACATTACAGCAAAGGCTGGGCCTTTATTGTTCTATCTCCAGCATCAATTCCGGGGGGAGTCCAGAGATGCTGAACACAGCATGGAGCCCACACTTGGGCTAAAATACCCAGTATCTGGCCCTCCCTGGTGGCGCAGCAGGTTAAAGCACAGCACTAAGAAGCTTAAGCCACTTCTGCATGAGTTCAATCCCCGCCTGCCCCGGAGGAGATCCACATGGCGTGGCAGACCTCTCCTGACCCGCCCACTGCTCCCCTCAGCAGTGTACTTCATCGATCTGCCTGTTCTGCTCCCCACTCTGTCTCTGGTGAATCCTCTCACCCTCCACATCTCTGGCCTGTACCCCAGTTCTGTATGAATAAATAAATAAATCTTTAAAAATAAAAAATATCCAGTGTCCTGCCCCTGAGGGAGGCCATGTAGATCAGACAGGGTTTGTTTCCATCCCATAACCTACACCCCTATCTACCCTTGGCACAGAAGGCCTGGAGCAGAGGGTGGGATATAAGCCATGGAGCAACATCTCACTGGCCAGCTGCTTTTTCTACAGAAAGATAAAGGGGATGTGGAGCTGTACATGGAACCTGGTCCGTACGTAGATCCTTTCACAACTGTGACTCTGGGCTGGCTGGACAGCGACGAGGACCACCACTTCCAGTGGTCATGTGGTAGGTGGCTCAGAGCTCTGAACCTTCTCTTTCTCACCAGGGAGTGATGGATAAGAGTGGCCAACTTTGTTGTTCTGTTTAAATCTTCCCATGGGTATTACTTATGCCTGATGTTAGATGAACCTTGTGTGTGTCAGAATCCCAAGGAAATAGGGAGGGCAGGGGGCAGCAGCAAGCCAAGGTAAGGTGGCCAGGCAGAGAGGAAATAACATTATCTGTAGAGAAGTTAAGAACAGGAATAAAACTCTGAAAATCAGTTGTTTTATCTCCACCTTCTCCTGTTTTCAATGGGTCCCTTCTTTCACCACCGAGCCCTCAGAAAGCTGCTGGGAGGAGTCTTGAAGGGGCATGTGATGAGGCATTTTATGACAGACCAAGATGATAGTGATGTCATTTTCGGAGTTGTTCAGTTTGGAGAGTGGGGTCCTTGGGTTCACTTGGGGAAAGGTTTCACCAGAGCTCCCCTTTCAGCACGTGACGAGCTTCCTAGGTGAGTTTCTCCACGACACAGAGATATTATCTATATCCAAAGGGCAGGTTTATTATAAAAGGGAGAGTAGAATAAAGAACACTTGAACAGACACAAGTGGGCAGAAAGTGCTGCCCAAAAGGGACAGGTTTGCTGAGAGAGGCCTGCATGGTCACAGGCGGGTGGCCTTGAGGAGAGCGGCCTCTGCTGAGGGAGGTCAGAGAAGGGAAGGCCCGGCATGGGCATGGTGTGCGCAGACAGGAGGTAGAGGGCCACAGTGGTGGCAAAAAGGAGCACCTGTGTAGTCACAGGTGGGCAGAAGGTCTGCTGCCCCTGGCCATTGCAGAGACTGCGCTGGTATAATGTTCTTATATAGAAGATTATATATATTATATGTGTGTGAGTATATATTTTTGATGGTTTTAAAAATAATATGTTTCTTTTTACATCATTTTGTGCATTTTTCCATCTCAGTTGTAATCCCCATGAGCTTCCCATCACCAAATCACCTATGTGCCATCACCATAGTCCAGTGCATTTCCCTCCCCCAACTGTTTTTGATTCCATTCCCCACTCCACACCCACAAAATGTCTCTGGTATATTGTTGTTCATTATTATTATTATTTTCTTGCCTGGTCCATTATATTCCTGCTATGAGTGAAACCATCCAGTATTTTTCCTTTTCTTTCTGGCTTATTGCACTAAGCATGATCTTTTCCAGCTCCATCCATGTTGCTGCAAAAGGCATGTGTTTATTTTTTTTTTGGTCACTGAGTAATATTCCATTGTGTACATGTACCACATCTTTTTAATCCAGTCATCTACTTTTGGGCTATTTCCATGTCTTTCCAATTGTAAATAAAGCAGCAATAAACATGGGGGTGCAGGTATCTTTTTGAATCAGTGTTTTTGTGTCTTTTGAGTAGATACCTAGGAGTGGGATTGCTGGGTCGTAGGGAAGCTCCAAGTTTAGCAGTTTGAGGAACCTCCAAACAGTTTTCCATAGTGGTTATACTAGTTTGTATTTCCACCAGCAGTGCAGACTTCCTTTCTCATATGTAAGTATATTTATATTCACACACACACATACGGGGCTCATTCCTTCATGGAGTGGTTTGTTTGCTGTTGACTCTGAATGAACTGTGGAATTTGAAGGGGCCACATTTCTGCAGTGGCCCTCAGTGTCCATATCGTCACCTTTAGGTCTGAGCTCCTGACACCCCCTACAGCAGTCTCACGCTCACTTGGGTCTTGTGCTTTGTGATCTAGGGATTGGGGGCCTAATGACGTTAGTTCCTTTAGCTGGGTTAATGCTGTTAATCCCTGCACCCTGACCTCCAGCTCTTAGAATTGTGTAACCAGGTTTCTGGTCTTGTGGCCCCTCCTTTCCAGTTTTTCTATCCTATCCTCCATCAGTAGCACTAGTGAGTGGTACATGGTTTCTGTTTTAGAAATAGTTGTTCTCCCTAGGCCAGGGGATAGATCTTAGCCATATGTGTGTTCTTGTCAATATAAAATGCTTGTCTTTCATACTCTATCTTTTTCTTTTCTTAAAATCTGCAGGGTACCTTACAAGGTACCCTGCAGATTTTAAGGTCATAGTATCTTCTCCATGTTCATAATACAGGTTTCTCTTCTCATTCAAAAGTAGAAAGCTCCTATTTTGTATAAACTGATAGGTTGGGGGGGGAGGGGTATCTAGGAATTTTATTTCCACTCATTTATATGGAATTTTTAGAGCATTACCATATAACAGAATAACAGAGTCAAAGATCATGTAAAATTGGAAAACTTGTTAGTTTAATTGGTAAATGCTCAGATCACCCTTCCGAATATTAGTTCTCATTACCTGAGTTAATAGGGAATAAAATAGAGTAAGCAGATGACCTGACTCCTGACTGTGCCGTGAATGTCTATCTACTGGGGTGTGGGGGAACAAGGAGATTGACGGGTAAACAACTGACCAAGGGCTGAGAATATGGAGACTTAATGATTTGGTACCATAAAGCTGGAGGTAACATGCAGCCTCCCAGATGAAGGCACAACTCCCTAGGACCCCAGGATGCCCAGACAACACATAACTGTGGATGACAGTTTCCACATGGAATGAGAATGACACAAGGAACCAGAGCTGCCCTGGACTTTCTCCAGGGTGGGGCTACCTGTCCTTCTGGCCCCCTCCTACCACAGGCCTGCCTGCTCACCTGTGCAAGCCATGGGTGCAAAGCAGCGACATGTCCTGCAGTATAGTCAGAGACTGAATGAAACAGCGTCACTTTCCTGAAGCATTCACCAGTAGCACCATTCCTGCAAACCTGCAAGTGAAATTTTAAAAAATAATAACCAAAAGCCTCTATTTGGAGCTGATTTTCTTATCCATCACCTTTATTTGAAACAGCCCAAACCAGAAGATAGCCCCACGAGTCAATATCAGGGTTTATGAATAGACACTCCTGTTTGCCCATCTCTCCCAGGACGCTGCTGGGCTCAGTGGAACGACTGTGTTGAGAGGAAGCTGCTCCACACAGACCAGAGGGAACTGGTGGTTCTGCCACCCTGCCTACCCCCACCGGGCTCTGCCGTGACCCTGCGTCTGGCCATCCGGAAAAACCAGGAGCTGGACAAGCAGAAGGAACAGTGCCTCTACGTGTCTGCACCTCTGGACCTCAGGCCTCAAGTCAGGTGGGGATGGAAGAGCAAATTCCTCTAGGGTTGCCATCCTTTGTTTTGCGTCAACATTTATTGACAGCAGCTTGAGCTAGCGCTGACTAGTGGTGGAAAAAAAACAGATCTAGTCTTGATTCCCTAGAGTTACTATCTGTGTGGGGAATGATTTGCATAGACATAGAGGGTGTGATTTTGTGACAACCTTCTCAGTGCAAGGGAAGGGAAGGCTTTTCTTAGGCAAGATATAGAAAAGGAAGCGGAATTTACCTTGCCAGGAAAATGGAGATTGGAAAGGGAACAGAGTGGCCAAAGGAGAAGTATAGAATACTCTGGAAGTGAAAAGAGGTTGGTGTGGCTACAACATGGAGGACGAGAGAGGGGCAGGAGTAGGAGGCAAGGGCTGGCTCAGCATGGTCTTGCATCAGCCCTAAAATATGACTTTGCATTTCATCCTAAGAGTTCTGGAAAGTCATTGAGCTTTAAGCAGACTGGGGGCATGACCACATTTTGTTTCAAGATGCTCTGACAGAAGACTGGAAGGGGTAAGATATGCCCAAGGAGATTGCTTAGGCTCTTCCAGGAAGGAATAAAGGCAGAAGCTCAAGGTCTTGCTCTACTAGCCAGGTGCCTGCAGGAAGCAGATGGCTCACTCAAAGTAGAAATAGCTGAGGGTTGGATAAAGGGTCTAATTATAATGTGGGCAGGGGCAAAATAACAAACCACAGTGATGCAGGGCTTCATGGGGGAAGCCTCGATGCATCTGAGGACCCAGAGGTAAGATGGCAGGAGCTGGTCGCAGCTAAGGAACACACCTCTGCTAACTGCAGCCTGGAAGGCAAGGAGCAGGGAAAGTGGTGGATAAATATCCCTCTCCTCTCTCCTCTCACCCTCCAATCTGGACCCAACCAGACGGCAGAGGGTGTGGGGATGTGGGCAAATCAGTCTATAAGGTTCAGACTTCCTAGTGTACAGAGCCACAGAGATGGAGACTGGTCTGCAGGGGCAAATGGACAATACCTGGCACACATGCTAAGAGAACATGCGGCCTTAAGTGCAAAATAGACATGAGAGCTCTCATGCAATTCCAACTGAAAAGATCTGGGCATGGGTTGGAGCAGCTCACTGGCACACGAGAAGGAGAATGATATCAAGAGAAGGTCCAGGACTTGAATCAAGAGCTGTTGGTTCACATTCCAGTCCCTCACAGAGACAAATCCCATTGGTTCCATTTCCGTGAGATGGCGGGCTGGTCTGTGATCTGGGGAGTCTAACATGGCCTCAGAGAATGTGATGAGCACTGGCTAAGCTGAGAACAATGAAGCCTTGATGAACTATAGTGTGCAGCCTACACAAGCACAGCATTTGTTTATTATTATTGGAGCTAGAGAGAATCACAGCATTGTCTGCTCATACTCTCTCACTTTGCAAGTGAGGAAACAGGCTCGGAGAGCAAAGTGGCCATTGGATTCTAGAACTTGGGGCCTCCTTTGCTTTGCATATCCTGATCCTATGCAGCGAATGAAGTGGGATTTCAGTTTATTACTCATCACTCCTTCATGATCTGCGCTGGTTATGTGGGTGTGAGGGAAAGGGATTGCTTCTATTCCAAGTTTACTTCCTACCTTCTCAAAGGATGAGAACAACAGGGCAAGCAACCAGGCAGATGGCCACCGTGCTTACTGATCTTCCTTGACTGTCTCCCTTGCAGCTGTGAGAAGAACTGCTGGCCAGTGAACACTAGTGACAATGTGGTGCTCAGGGTCACCATGGGGGATAACTCCCCAGCAGCCATGTTCACCTGGTACTTAGATGTCACCCCGCTGGAGAAGGTGAGGATGCTGGCAATCATTCAAAAATGGAATTGTCACCCGCCTCCCACCCCCTTGACTAACCAGACTGATGCCAACATCTAGTACTGGGTCAGGGTAGAATCTGTGTGTGGGGTGTCTCCCTATGAGAAAGCGAGCACAGATGCAGCGGATGCTGTTGGTGCCAAAGCTGAGTCCCTCTTCCCAGGCTGCTATGTGGAGTGGAGTGACCACAGGCTAGCACCTCATGGGGGATCAGGCTGAGGCTGGAGGCCTCCAGGAACTGCTGCTCCATGCTACCCCACACACCCATGCCACCCCACCACCCATGCTCCCAGAGGATCTCCCTTAATACAGAGGATCTCTGGAACCCCTGGCTCAGAGTCTGTTCATAGGGAACAGTACAGGACAAATGTCCTAACCAGGCAGGGAGTGGTTATTTGGGCTAAGCTGAGGGAAGCAAGTGGTACCTGCCATCCATCCATCAGGTGCAAAGTAGAAGGCCTCCACAGGGTCAGAAGCCCTGCTGAGGTCTAGGCCAGCTGCAGCCTCAAGAACTCTGGGCCTATTCTGTTTCAGGCCCAACCCCTCCCGGTGACCTGCAGACTCCCAGGACTCTGGCCCCATTCTTTAACCCTCCTGCAGAGGGACACGTCCACGCTGCTGCTGAACAGCTCCTTCCTGCAGACCTGGGGCGAGGTCATCCGGATCCGAGTCACAGGTATGAAGTTTTCCTTTGGTCAGGGATCCTACCTGCCTTGGAAGGAGAACTAGATTGGAACTAAAAGTCAGAATTATGGGCCAGCAGTGTAGAGTGGGGCCACACTGGCTTTGGTTTTCATCTGTCACTTTCCAGCTGGGTGGCTTGAGGCAAGAGGTTGAGCCTCTCTGGGTCTGCTTCGTACATGTAAACTGGACATTATGAAACCTCCCACTTCGTACATGTAAACTGGACATTATGAAACCTCCCACCTCCCAGTTTTTCCATGCAGATGTGAGAACACAGCATGGCACATGCAGATCAACCTGAGGTTGTGCCAGCTGCCCTTCTCATGGAAAACCAGCCCATTATAACAGGAAAGGTACATTCTCAAAAAGACCCCAAAATTGGGGTGAATAATCTTTTTGACATGGTTTGTTTTGATGCAGTGTCATAGACCACTCAGATAAATTTATCCCACCCAGTGGGATAAAAAGCACATTCCTGGACCCACCTCAAACCTTCTGAATTAAGTCTAAGTCAAGTCATTAGTTTTAGTTGTTGAAAATTCTCTTCAGGCCCCACTCATACACATTCTTTTTTGAAATGCCAGATGATTATACCGGGTGGCGTACAGGGCACCTGAGGTCTTGTCCCGGTGCTACAAGGAACGTGATAGTTTCCTTCAGGTGGGATCAGGGCCCTGGCTAAGGCCTTTCCATGGTGATTTTGAGCAAGTCGTTGTCTCCCTCCTCCCCAAATTAGGGGGAGGAAGAAACTGCTCTTCTTTGCCCCATTTTACAGGCGAGGAGCTGACTCTCATAAAGGTCAGGTCTGAGGTCACATGGCCAGTAAATGGCAGAACTGGGGCTCGTGTCCAGATCTCTCTGATTCTGTTCCCTTCTTTCTGTCAGTTTTAAAAGTGAGGCCATGGGAAGCTCCACATCAGAGGCAGCTATTAGATATTCAGATTTCTGTGTACTGCCCAGAATCTCCAGAAGCAGCTGAGGCTCTAGATCTGGAGAGGGGCTGGGGAGTTTCCTGTTTAGTAAGCTGGGGTGATCCTGAGGCATGGTGGAGTTACTGTGACCTATGAAGCCCCCTAACTATCCTCTGTCTTCACCCCCCAGCAGTGACCGGGCATGCCTATGGGGAGGACACCTATGTCATCAGCTCTCTGCCTCCCCCCGAAGTGCCCACCTGCACCATTGTCCCAGAGGCGGGCACCATTCTAACGAGCTTTGCCATCTTCTGCAATGTCTCTGCCTCCCCGCATCCTCTGGAGCACTGCTTCTGTCTGGAGTCAGGTACCACCCAAGACTGTGCTCCCTTCAGCTCCAGGGCTCACCCACGCTAAGAATAGGGCCCCAACTCTCTAGGGGCTGCAGAGACTATTTCCACATGTGAGAGGTATGCAGGATGCAGACATTCCTCTCCCATTTTAAACCTCAGCCACCACCCCAGGTACACAGACACAACCACCCACCTTAGAGGGAGGAGAAGCAGATGCCCTCAGAATCTTTTCTACCATTACAGAGGCCAAAATGACCTCTGCTTTGGCATGAGGGAAGTGAGAGGTCTGAGCGGCGGAGAATGTCTGCAGGCATGGCAGTGCAGGCCACAGCCAGGACCCCATCCCCCACCCCACTCTCGGGGGAGGCATGAACCCTGGAAAGTCTGCAGCTATCCAGGACAGAGAAGGGCCTCATTCGCAGACTCGTCGGCGCTCTACTGGCCACTTAGTGGGAGGCAACTGGGAATGGGACGTCGCAAAACACACTGAGCCGAACGGTAACATTTCTGGTGGGACAGGACTCCAGACCCCCATCCCATTGCGCAACACTCTGTAGCCTGCATCACCTCAATAGCTCACACCCCAGGATGGCAACAGGCATCAGCAGGAGGCAAAGAGTGACAGCCCACATAGCATCTGCTCTCCCGGTTAGGGGTGACTGGACTCTAGAGGGCTCATGTGACTCCTCATCTACTACCATCGGGCTCTGGCATTTTACCACCCTCACAAGAGCTCTGAGAATGTTCAAGTCAGTTGGGGACAGTCCTCCAAACCCAGTCACCAGGAAAATGACTTGCCGGCTCCCTACTATCCAGCACCAAACATAATGACATAAATGAAATGGATCAATTAGGGAAAGGTGGGTGCAAGCCATCCTGAGATCCAGGGAGGGTGGTTTCATCTCTGGGTCTGAGTGTGCAGAAAGACCCTCAAGGAATGGAAGTAGATTTCACTTCAAAGCTGCATCCCCATGAATAGAAAGGCCAGGCCAGTCCCATCTAGGGAGTCCCGTCCCTCCTCTGTCCACCCACCTCACACAGCTGAGCAAGGAGGCAGGGAAGTGTGGTCACCTAAAAATGAGGTTACTGCTATTCCATGCTTCATGATTGTTGGCACTTAACAAGTGACTCGTGATTCCAATGAAGGGCTCCCCTTTAGGGACACAAAGGATACTCATGGATACATTTTCACGACAGATGTGAGTACTGTCAGATTCTGTTCCAGGCCGCAGGGAACAAAACAGGGGTGCTCCCTTCACACCGCTGGGAATGAAAGGCTGTGTGTGCAGTGTGGTCGCAACAGGCTGCACCGCACGCCTAGCTGTGCCATCTATGCGGGTGCCATTACCTACATGACCACCACAAGCGACGCTTGACATCTCCACGGCTGCTGGTGGTGACAGACAACAGGAGGCGCTGTGTGGACACGGGCAAGGCCTTTGTATGGAAAGTGTCCTATGCGCTTGGCTATGCTTTGAGCTGATCTTGAATAGGTCTCCTCTTCTCTCCTTCTTTCTTCTTGTAATTAGGTTTGCCATCTTCAATTTAAAAAAACAAACATGAATGGGAGATTTTTGGAGATATTTTTGTGGATTTTGGTAATATTATCTCAAAGTCACAGCAGCGTGAGATTACCTAGAGAGGACAGTAGATGCTTATATATGGCTGTCTTCACGCTGAAAATACGAAGTCCTTGAGTGTCTGACACAGCCTCATGACCCACGGCTGTGTCTCTCCCTGGGTGAGGTGCTGCCTCTTAATTGTTCAATTTCCACGTCTAGGTTCCTGTCTACACTGTGGCCCTGAACCTGATCTCCTGTCAGTTTATCTGCCACTGGGGAAGGAAAACAATGACTTTGTGCTGACTGTGGTCATTTTCGTCTCCAATCGAGCAGGTGAAACACGGCAAACCCATGCAGCGGTGAAGGTAGGGGGTGGCCACTGTTTATTTACTGAGAAAACCTGACCCATCTGAACCTCACCAAGAGGGTGGCTGGTAAACAGAGAGATGAGGGCGTGATCACGAGTTGATTGATTCATCAACAAATATTTACAGAGCTTCTCCTGTGTGCCAGGCCCTGGATACAGCAATGGTCCTCCCCTTGGTAGATTTTACGATTAGCAGTCAGAATAAGGGTAGGGTTGTAGTGAGTAGGGTGTGGGGTGGAGGCTGTGGGGGCTGGGGCAGTAGGATCTGAGTACCTTCAGAGCCCACAGGAACAAGGACAGGATCAGCCAACAGTGCTCCAGGCAGAGGCAGGATAAATCCCAGTAAATGTAGGGTCGGCAGCCAGGTGGAATAGAAAGGAATGGGAAGACTGACCAAGAGGGCAGTGAAGGGTGAGACTATGACTTCCTGAGGCTTGCCTGGTGCAAGGGGGGGTCCCAGCTGCCCTCAAAGGCCCAGGCAGTACCCAGAGCCCCCACGCCACATCTGCTCTGGTTTTCCACATGAAGATCCGTGCTTCACACTCCAGGTGCTTGAACAAGTACTAGGGCTTGCAACCTCCCCAGGAATGTTTCCCCTCAGGTGGGCCTTGGAGACGCCCGTGTTGAGGATGTGGCATTCCAGGCTGCCGTGTCTGAGAAAATCACTGCTGTTTTGCAAGACGAGCAGCGTCCTGAGCAACTCTTCCAGCTGGTTGGGTCTGTGTCCTCCGTGCTGGACCAGGAGCGTCAGGAGCAGGGCTCTGGGAAGTCCCCAGGAATGGACACCAGACAGAAGGTACCCATCTGGGTTCCTTTATCCCTCTGCTGGGTGCCCTGTGGTCTGCATGCAATCATTCAGGGTGGAAGCGTGCTCACGATTCTGCTAATTCAGGGCAATCAGAGCCATTGAGCTCAATTTCCAACAATTTTGCATGTGAGGTGACATAGCCATAGACTCCAGGGACGAGGACGTGCACATCTCTGGGAGGTTACATTCTGGGCACAAGAAGCCTACCAAGTACCCTATGGGGCAAACAGAGGTCTATGGGTTTTGGAAAATCCAAGATGAATCCAATCTTGCTCTGACCCCACATCTTTCTGAAACCACTTCATCAATGCTCTGGAATTATATACCCTCTCCCCTCTTCCTCTCTCTTCACCAAGGTCAGAGAACACATGCTGGCATCACTGTCTTCAGTTGCTGCCACCCTGAGGGACATGCAGAGGGTTCAGGGGCTGGCCAAGGTACTGAGAGAGGTGACCCGCCACAGTGAGGAACTCTCACCCTTGGCCCAGGTGAGTAGTCCTCACCCGCTCAGTCAGGCCAGTCAGAAGATCGCTAAATCACAGGGACACCAATTCTCCCGCCATCTTGTTCCCAAGGTCCTGCCTGGGTGTCTCCAAGGGAGAGAGGGGACACCACAGTCCCACCCAATGAGCACCTCGAGGCAGTAACTGCCTAACTAATCATCGGATAATATGCATGCCCAGATGCTGTTGCTCACTGGTCACGTCCCCCACTTCAGTGCCCATCAGACTAATGTCCAGCTGTCAGCCGCTGCCTTTCTTTGCCTGGGGGCCTTCTCTGACCTCCACTCTCATCCTGAGCCCACTCTGCCTGCCCACATGGCAGATTGGACTGATTCAGCACTGAGTGACTTTTGGAGCTGGGGCAGATATCCATCTCCCCTCACTTTCTGGATAATTCCTCAGTAATAGGCTGCTCACACCGACTGGGTCACACCTTGGCTCTTCCTCGTCTCAGGTCCTGTGTGTTTCCAGGGATCACCTCCAGATGTGTCAGGGCATGCTTCTTGGAGAACTCAAAAGGCTTCCAAAGCAGCCAAGGCAGCCAAGCTTTAAAAAAAGAATCCCTGAGACAGTAAAAGCGGATCTACCCTGGTTCTGCCCTTACACAGTGTCAGGAAGTTGTACCCCTCAAATTACCCAGCCTGAGGCCATAAAGGTGACTGTTAGCTCTGGAGTCACAATGCTATTAACATCACACTTCCCTTGCACACACCCATTGGCTCATCCATCCAGTCCCTGTGCAGGCACCTAGACAGGTACCTGTTTTCACCCATTCCTCCATCCTTCCATTCATTTATGAATGCATTAATATATTCATTCATATTCAATAAAAACCTCCTGAATGTCTAGTGACAGGATGATTCAGCAGCAAATTGCACAGACATGGCTGCACTCGGCACTTACGGTGGAGCAGCCAGACATTAAAGAATTTCACAAATATGTATATAACAACAAGACTATAACAGGCGCTATGTCCACACACCCATCTACCATCCACCCATAGATCCATTCAGTGAATGTTTACTAACTGCCTACTGTGTGCTGGCTGCACAAAGTACTCTGGGAACGACTCAGAGATGGACTAGGCTACTGTCTTGAAGGAACTTACCACACTGTAGGGCTGATGGACCAGTTTCAAGTCAGCAATACAGGCAGCTCATGTAATGGGCTCAGCCCAGGTCTTCCTTATTGTGTCCACACCTCGCTCTTCTGCACTGCAGCCCTTGATTGGCACAGGGGACAGGCTATCCCAGGGAGGGCTCATGCTGTCTTTCCTTCTCCTTTGGGTGATCCCAGAGGGAGGCCATCTGGGTGCTACAGCATGCCAGTGAAGCCCTGCTGGCAGTGAGCGCCAAGACCCATCCTGAGGACCAGAGGCACAAGGTGGCTGCAAGGGACCTGTTTCAGGCTGTGGGCAGCGTGTTGGAAGCTTCTCTGAGGAACAGGCCAGAAGAGACTGAGGAGGCCGGTGATGCCCAGGTAGGTCTCCCAGACCAGACGCACACCTCTACACCTATGGTCAGCCCGGCTCCCACCAGCACCTCTACATGACTCTCCCCCTCTTGCAGATGAAGAAACTGAGGCACAGAGGTTAAAGTCCTTTCAAGGGAGCTGGGAGAAAGGTTGCAGAAAAAGCTTCCAGGAGGCAGTGTGGTTACTGGACTGCATGCAGACTCCAGAGGAGGCAGCCTGAGTCAACCATAAGACTTGCGGCCTGGCCATGTCACAAAACCCTCTTTAGCTTTACTTCATTTGAAAATCGAAGGACTCTGCCTCATCCTATATGAGCCACCAATTGGAAAGCTCACATTTCCATCTTGCAAGTATGGATTGAAATCTTCTTTTACTTAGCCAAGAACATGGAACATTCTTAGAAGAAAGGCAGGCCAAACGTAAGAACAGATACAGCGCAGCTACCTTTGGTACCTAAGGGGCAGGATGTCATCACAAGGCTTGCTGTGAAGCCCATTCTGGCTGGTCCATGGTCTTTATCACATGGGGACATCACTTCTTTGAGGAAGAACTAAGATACACGGGCAGGGATGCGCACACTCACCCATAGACATGCAAATACATCTGCATACTCACACACACGGAACATCAGCAGACACACATTCAGTCACACCCACTTGGAGACACTCCCATAGCCTCACATACTCACAGAGATATACTTTTATACATGTCATCACCCTCAACCACACATACTTTCTTAGCAACAGACTTGCACTTCCATTGTAGTAACATGCGAAATGACAATCACACATCCATGCTCCAACACTTCTACTCACCCTGAACCCACACTCATACACACACACATCTCACAACAACTCACACACACTCAGTCATGCTCACACCTACACACTCAAACACACTTACACAGTTACCTTCAGACAGTCTCTTGGGCACACACACTCCCTGGACATTGTTGAGCACTCTGTGCAAGTATCTACCCCTTCCTGGGCCTCCGGCCAGCCCTGACTTCAGCGAGGCTGTGTTTTCACCTTGGGGTTGGATGGAATAGGGAGTAGCCTGAACCCAGGTGACCCTGTGATAGGACTTTGCTCGTGGTTGTCCATTTTCCCATGAGTGAGACTGGGCTGTGGGTGGATGTTGGGGTCAGATTCAGTGGCAGGAGAGGCCCACTGTCACTGCTTGGTGCATGGGAGTCACATGCCTTGCCACCTCACTGTGGTTCTTCCCTTGTGAACGCGCAACCTCCACAGGTCACCAACTCTGTCTGTGCCTTGTTTCCCCATCTGCCAAAGGAAGACAGTAAAGGCACCGGCCTCTCTGAGTTATCTGAGGGGCTAGCATGAGCCTCTCTGGATGGAATCTTGTAAGAGCTCACTCTGTTCCACACAGCACCTGGCACTCACTAAACAGCGCTCCTTTACCACCCCTTCCTGCTCTTCTGCCTGCTCACGGTCCCTGCAAAGGTCCCAGTCTAACCTGATGACACTACCCAGAGGTGGCCATGGAGGCCAGCCCACAGCAGTATCCCCTGCTTCCTTTTCCAGATGGCACCTGTGCCCCAGCTGCTCGGCGCTGTGGAGCGGGTGCAGGCTGCCCTCCTGCTGGGGAGGCTGCCCGGGGACCCTCCAGTCACATTGGCTGCCCCCTCCATTGCAGTGTACACCAACAGGTAACCAGCTACATGGTGGCTCCCCGCAAAAGTTCGGCCCCTGCCCTGGCTCATCCTGTACCCCCACGTCAAGACCTGTGACAGGCAGAGAGCAGGAGGCCAACCTGGGAGGGGTGAATAGGGAAAGACTGGGAGAAGGAAGGGCTTCTCACAGAGAGAGCCATTGTGGGGATGGACAGCAGAGACAGGGAGGCGCTGAGTGCCACTCCTGGAGTTAAAGCTGCCAAGAGCCCTGAGAGCCCAGGCTGTGCTGTGCATGTCCCACAGAGGCTGAAGGAAGGGTACAGGCCTCTTTCAATTCACCTGGTATGTCTGGCCAAGCCAGGGCTCCTCAGTGCCGCCCTACGCACCTGTAGCCCATGGACACGCTCAGTACTGGGGACTGGAGTGGGGGGCTTCTCTCTCCATTTCCCTATCAGACAAGCCAGTGCCAGATGGCACTGCCAGCACTGCTCGAACCCCCTGACCCCAACACCCATCCTTGGTTCCTTGTGCCGGGGCAGGTCCCAGGGGCAGTTTCCCAAAGCAGCACTCCAGTCAGAGCTGGAAATCTCATCCCCCTCTACTCAGAATCACAAGGCTAAGGGCCACAACAGTTGGGCTGGGAACCCACAACCTCAGATTCAGGCAAGCAGGGGAGGTGAGCCTGCGGAAATGCCCACATCGAAGCTCATTGTTCATGCCACTGTGTGCCAGGCACTGTCAGCCAAGCTGGCAAAAGCCCTGCCCTCAGGGAGCCTGTCATCACTGTAGAACACAGTGGCTGCCTTCTAGCCTCCTTCTGAGGCAACACACAGAGAAAACTTGGGGAGCCACAGGCACTCACACTGATGGGAATGGGGGGCTCCCTGAGGGTGTGCAGTGCGCAGGTCTGCCTCTAACCCTGGCTCTTCCCTGTCTCCCCCACTGTGGTTCTCACCTGTGGCCAGAATCCAGCCCTGGAGTTGGCGGGGCTCCTCCATACATGTTGCTGCGGTCAGCTCTGCCACCTTCACCCTGCCTGCTGCCTCCTCCCTGGGCTTCAAGGACACTCAGGAACCTGTGGATATAAGGGTAACGGTAGTAATGAAGCTTTGGGAATAGCCCTTCACAGTTTGAGGAGCATGCTGACCTATAGGGCTCAGTCACACTACATGAGTCTTGTTAAACATGACATCACCATGTCCAGGGAAGATGAGGATCACGAGCAAGGTGAGAGAACTGGGATTCACACCAGGCGTCTGACTCCCCATTCGCTCCTCTTTCCACTACCATGTGGAACTCCTCTTGAAGACTTGATTGCATTGGTCATTGGCAAGAAAGCCCTTGGGCCTTTGCTCCATCACTGGGGAATGGCCAACCTGGGGATCTTTTCTGTTTCCCAATTAGGCACATATGACTCTCAGCTCCTTGAGCCCCAGTGCAAGCAAATAAGCATCTTTCTCTTAAAGACTTGGTTTTGTGGGAAGAACGGCTCAGGGCATTTGATAGTCCAGTGACTGCTCAGCTGTGACAGACCCAAATTTCTGAGGCCACAGCTCCAGTGGGCAAACACATGCGAGTCAGCAGCTGTAGTTCAAAGGTCCCATTCACCCTGCGGGGTCAGCACGCCTGTTTACAGCCCCCAACAGGACTTATTCTTGGTTTCAGATGATGAGCTTCCCCAAGAACCCCTTCCCAGCTGGAAGTCACTTTGACATCAGCGGAACCATTGGTGGCCTCTGTCTGACCAGGCCTAGTGGACAGCGCCTCCCTGTAAAGAATGTGTTGGAGAACATCGAGGTATGTTACTAGCTGTCACTGGTGAGGTGGTTTCTGACTTTGCTAACTAGATTGGTTCCAAAAGTTGATCAGTTATGAAAAATGCCTTAAGGAAAATCATTAACAATGCCTTAAACAGGGCCCTCCCTGGTGGCGGAAAGGGTTAGGCGCAGCACTGCAAGCAAGCCACAGCTGCCTCAGTGTTAATTCAATCTCCGGCCCCCGGAAAGTGATCCACAAGGTGTGGCAGATCTCTCCTGACCCGTCTGCTGCTCCCCTCAGCAGCATACCTTGTAGATCTGCCTGCTCTGCTCCCCACTCTGTCTTAAGTGAAGCCTCTCACCCCCTGCACCTCTGACCTATATACCCCAGTTCTATATGCATAAATAAATAAAAATCTTTTTTTAAAATGCCTTAAACATTGTTTTTATTTCCCTCTGCCATAGGAAAATTCTAAGAAACGTTTTTAAATTAAATTAATATTTTAAAAGATTTATTTATTTATGCATACAAGAACTGGGGTACAGGCCAAAGGTGCGGGGGTGGTGACAGGACTCACCAGAGACACAGTGGGGAGCAGAACACACAGATTGACTGAAATACACTGCTGAGGGGAGCAGTGGATGGGATAGGAGAGGTCCGCTGTGCCATGTGGGCCAGCTCCCTGGCTGGGGATCGAACTCATGATACAGTGGCTGCAGAGGGCTTCATAGTGCTGCACTTCAACACTTTGTGCCACCAGGAAGGCCCCCTAAAATAAATCTTAAAAAAAAATAAAGGTCATACTTCTTTCCCATAATACTCTACCACAGTCCATTGCACCCTCCTCCTGGTAGCCTTGTTTCTACAGTCTGATTGCTAGGGTTTGTTTTTGTCTGTTTCTTGGCTTTATTTCTTTATATTCCACATATGAGTAAAATTATCCAGCATTTGTCTTTCTTCTTCCGGCTTATGTCTCTTAGCTTAATTCCCTCTCATTCCATCCATATTGTTGCAAATGGCCAGATTTCATCTTTTTATGAGTATATTCCATTGAGTATATAGATGACGTCTTCTTTATCCACTCATCTGGCACACAGGCTATTTCAATAAATTGGCTTTTATAAATAGTGCTGCAATAGAAATTATATTTTAACTTAAGATTCTAAATGCATGTCATTGCTAATCTATTGGGTGCACAACATAAAAGTCTCTTTGTGTCTGTTGCCTGGAGTTCTGATTATCTTCACTGCATGGGTTCTCCCCATAGCACACCCTCTAAAATGCCCAGCTAGATTTTCTTTCAAGTTAAGCAAAACCATAAGCACACCCATGGTGCAATATAAGTGAGATTCTTTTGAGATGTTAATGACTTTTTTCTAGAGTTCTCATGGATGACTAATTCAATAATAATTTTTAAAAACTCATCTGCTTCTCAAAGCACTCCAGTTTTATGCAAATCATTCACTTTCTGTCACTCTGAAATAATATTAAAGTGGACTTTTCTAATCACAGTGGACAGAAGCAGGTTTGAAGTCAAATGCAGCTGCTTGTTGGTGAGCCGACAACTTGACAGAAACAAAAGAGCTACCGGGGGAAAGATGGGAAGGGTTGGGTTTTCTGGAAGCAGACACTGAGTAAGAAGATACAGTGTGAGGTAGACACTGGAGTTCAATATCTGTGTCAAGTGTTAAGACAGGCTCAGGCAGAAGACGTCACACAGTGCCTCAGTCTAGAGCAAAGTTTAGTGAGCAGGGTTGTATTAACTGCATGTGTTTATTTGCTGCTATTTATGATGTTTTGATAATTTTTTAAATCTTGCTGACCAAGGAGAGGTTGCAGCTCCAGGATCACCCAATTCTTCGAGATAGCAAAGGGTTCAAGCAGGGCACACCATTCATGTGCAGACCAACCAATGCTCAGTGCAGCGCCCCCCAACTGACCCCTATAATACAAGATCTCATGTACCATGCTGCTATTTCCCTGTCCTAAAACCATCCAGGGTTCCGGGTCATTAGAGACCACCCCTAGAGTCAGAGGCCCACTGGAATTATTCAAAGTGACCATACCTAAACTGTTTACTTGGCCCTGCCTTGCCTTGCCTCTGGAAACCCCAACGTAAAGGTTCTGGCCTGGCTTTCTGCTGTCCCTGCTTCTGCTTCCTGACCAGGTGGTTGTCCTGTCAATCTGCATGACAGGATGGTCCCTTCCTCTCAGGAACTGTCAGTCACAACTTCTCTCTTGGTATTGACCTCCCCATGCCATCACTTAGTCACTTCCGTAACTTAAACTCCCATAATAAACATGAGACCAGCAGGCCCACTGCAGGCCAAAGTGCCTGGGTCTTTCACCTCTCTACTTCCTTATTCACTGAAGACAGCAGCCCCAGGAAGGGTGTGCCCTCCAGGGAGGTGAGAAGGACCCTGAAGGAGCTGAGCACTCAGAGCTCATTACGTCCCGTGACTGGCAGCAGGCTCGCCCTGGAAGGGGGAGTTGAGTGGCACAGTCCCACAGTCCCACATCTTCTCTGGAATGCCAGGAGCATTAAGTAAACAGCGCATGGGGGCATCAAACAGGATGTTTTAAAAACGGAATGGAGACTTCAGCTAACATGGAGAATAGTGATGAGAATCTCACTTTAAGATAAGACTAACAGCAGTGATTAAAGTGATGCTGTTTATCTAGTATGCGGTCAAGCTTTTTAAACGTGGTAACATCTTTCCTACTCTCATTCCATTGAGGACAAGGAAACTGAGGTTCAGAGTGGTTTGTTAATTGCTCCCCACCCCACTCCACCCAGGTCCCATGGTTCATATGGGGCAGAGCCAAGGTCTGCACAGAGTTTTCTCTACCTCCTGTGGCCCTCACTTACACTTACTTCCCCCCACTACCATCAGTGCCATATAGCACCACAGTTCACACAGCATATTGGTATGTATGTCCATGAAGATGTACCCCCAAGCCAGAGTGCACAGCTTGATGTCTGTTAGGCTGACTAATAATCCACTGAAGTGACCATGTACTCATCCAGGTCACCTGACAGGGCAAGTGAGACTTTGCAGGTGTGATTAAATTAAGGCTCTTGAGATGGGGAGAAAACCAAGCCAGGCAGGGAGCATCCTGGAAAAGGCAAAAAAGCAGATTCTGCCTGGAATCTCCAGAAGGAGCCAGCCCTGCCATCATTAGCCCTCTGGGGCTGGTTTTGTTCTTCTGACTTCCAGAACTGTAAGACAACAGATATGTCCTGTAAGTTGCCAGGACGGTGGGCATTTGTCACAGCAGCCCAAGGACACCATTCTGGGGCCGGCTGCAGGTGCTGCCCGGCTCTGCACAGCAGCCCTGAGGCTGGCGTTCCCATCTGAGCTCACCTGTGGTTTGTCTCTGGTGACAGATCCTGCTGCCCCGGCTTTCAGAAGGGCACAGTGAGCCAGCTGTGTTGAACCTGGCCCGACCTGAAGCTTTGTGGGTGAACCTGACGTCCACGGGGGCAGCTTTGGGGATCCATCTGCACTGGAGACCAGACGTCCCACTTGTGCTGAGCCTGGGTTTTGGCTACCATCCGAATGAGTCCCACTTTGACACCAAAGTTCATCTTCCATCAACAGTTGTTCCAGGTAGCTCTGCAACCAGGCCAGTTTTTTGAGAGGATTTGGGGTGAGGAAAGGAACTTAAAACTTGAGAATCAGAAGCCTTAGGGAATTACTTTTGGTGTTGTTGCTCAGCAACACTAGATAAGCACTTATTATATAGGCTGAAGAAGCTTGGAGAATTCACCTCATGGTAATCCCCATGATGACCCTGGGGGTGGTGAGTATTGAGGCATCTACTTTCCAGATAAGACCAGAAAGGTTAAGTAACCTGTGACTCTGTGGTCCAGAGCCACACAGCCAAGAAGGGAGAGTCAGAATTTGAGTCCTCATGGGTCTGACCTGGCAGCATGTTCTGCACACAGACCTAGGATGCCTCTTCTTCTAGGCTACTTGTCTTGGGGGAGAGAGTACTCATAGGACATTGGGGAGACCCTCAGGGTCTCATGATGTCATCTCCATTCTCACTGAGGCTTCAGGCTAAACACAGGTCTCTTCTTGCAGAAGTGCCGTCCACATGGATCCTGGGCCCAGAGCACCTGCAGTTTGGAGAAGGTGTCTACTACCTGACTGTGGCCCTCGAGTCTGACATGGAGTTGAATGCCAGCAGGGATCTCACAGTTGGCATCACCACCTTCCTGTCCCATTGTGTGTTCTGGGATGAGCTCCAGAGGACCTGGAACAACTCCGGGTGCCAGGTGAGAGGAGTGAAGGAAAGAACCACATGGTTTTGTGTATCTAGCTTGTTTAGAGCCCCTTTTCATTGCCTCTGGGGTCTTTGCACATGCACATCCTTGCATCCGAATACCCTTTCCCCGCCTTCAGATCCTGTCACAAGCATCACTTCCTTGAAAGAAAGGTTCTCAACACCCAGGGGAAGCCAGACCTCGTACTCTATAAACTTGGAGCACACTGGCTGCCTCCTTGCGACCCTGGGTAGAGGGCTGGGCTTACATTTACTTTGGTGCCTGTGGCTGAAACCCCTGACACAGGAGCAGTGTGTCCTGCTCACCACTGAGACAAATGACCTTGAGCAAATGGACAAGTGGCCAGAAGCCCTGTGACTATGGTGGGTGAGGTACCAGGCATCATCATATCCAAGGAAATAAACACATAGCTGAGTCCTTTATTCTATACCAGGTGCTATGTTCCTTGCTTTTCTCAGCTTTTTAGTAGAGCTGTGGGTTTTCAACAATAAACTACCAGTGCATACACACGAGTGTGGGACATACAGAGGTCATGTGGGTAAATGTGTCATAGATCCAAGATTAGACTACCTAGTGCAGTATGCTGGATATTCATAATAAATACAGAGGCAAAGCTAAGCCATAGATGTAGATACAGTTATACATCATGCTATATTCTGAGAACTCCTCGTGGGCGATTTCATTGCCATGTGACATCATAGAGTGACATAAAACTAGATAGTACAGCCAACTACAAACCTGGACTCTGTACTAAGCTTGGGGGATCACCTGTGTACATGTGGTCTGATGTTGACCAAAATGTGAACCAGAAATACCTGACTGGACAGACACAGATACCCAAGGTCACTGAGACTTAAGTAATGGCACATTCAAGTTTAGACAGAATCTCACCACTGAATTCTTTACATGGTTAACAGAAGTTCCAAACCCATGAACTGCAGACCTCATCAGGGTAAAGGCAAAATTGTTATGGGGTGTGGTGTGGTCTGAAAATCTGTATTTTAACTTATGTAGTCTCTTGAAAGACACTAAAGGAGCAATGACTGTTGGGAGGGGTCCTCAGATCCATTTCAATTGGTCAAAGGGGCCTGGTGCTAGACAGGCTGAGAAGCCGCTGTCCTCTGGGTCTTTGCGACAACCTAGAGAATGAGCCTGTTAGGCGTACCTGCCTGCCCCTGAGCTCCCAGCACCGAGGTGGCCTTGGTACAGGCATCTGTTTGGGTTTCCTCTCTCAAACTAGCTTCACCCCTTCTAGGGGTGCCAGGTGTTCCCATAAGCCTCACAACTGATGCCAGATGCTAACCAGGACTGGGAAACAGCGAGATAAGCAATAGGGCAAAGGCAGAGCTGAAGCCCATGTGAAATCCGTCAATAAACAGTTGGCGCCATGCCTGGGGGTGGGGGTAGAGGTGTGTCACTTTTCACTGGGTCACTCATTAAAGGAGGCAGAGAGAGAGACAAGTGTCACCTGTTGGGGCTGCAAGGCTTCTTCCTCCCAGGCAGGTAATAGGTAGAAAAGTCTCCCCTGCCACTGTGCACTGCTCCTCCTACCCTTTCAACTCACTTAGACCCTGGAGTGGAAATTTGGAGAGGGTGATGGGATTGGATTAAATCTTTCCCCACCAAAAGGCCCTGGGTGATGATAAGCTGGTCCTGAAGGCCTGCCCCTAAGGCAGGGGATGAATGAAGAGTGCCTGTGGGATCCCTGCCCTGGCACTTTCCTGTCTCTCCCTTTCCCCCACCTCACTGCCTAGATGTTCTAGCTCCAGCCACCCCCACACTCCCTATAGCCACACCTTGCCACTCTCTTACCCAGGGTGATGATGGTGGGAACAGGGGGAGGTTACCCCAGGGGCCAGTCCTCTATGACAACATGAGCCTAAGGAAACAGGCTGTGCAGGTCCTGAAAGTATAGAATCCTGGGCCCAGGTCTCCAAATCATGGGTCTAGAAGTGGGGGCCCCAGGGCTGGGACTCTGTCCTATAAGGCCAGTGAAGCATCTAGAGTACAAAATTCAAGGAGAGATGTACTCTCAGGCCACCTAGGGCCTTGGCCTGGTCTTGCCTGGGTGGTAGTTGCTGTGGAGGTCACATCTCCTCTGCCCCCTCACTCCAGATCTTGTGCAGAGGGGCACATCCTGAAGAAGACCAGAGTGGGCCCTCCAAAGCATGATCCAAGGACAGGGATGCCCCTGTCCTAAGGGGGTATATTTTAGGGAATACTTTCCCCCTGCTGAGACCCCAACTTAGTATTTAAACATCTGTTGTTCCCCTTTCTTGCATTATGTTCTGGTCTCAGTCTTCTTTTTGCTCTTCAACGTAAGATGACCAACTGCCCCAGCTCATTCTGGCCTGAAAAGACCTCAGGATTCTAGACTTTCGGCCTGAAAACTGGGAAAGTCGCCGGCAAACTTAGGTGGAGACTTGGGGATTCCTGACAGCATCTAGTCCACTGCCTGGACAGGAGTTAGCACTCCACAGATTGACAGATCTGTCCAGGGAATGAGTACCAGGGGGGAGAATGTACCAGAATGATGCATACAAAACTGGAATGATGATTTTTTATGGAGTCAGGGGACAGAGAGAACTTCAGCTTACCTGGACTATTTCTCATCTTAAAAAGATACCGCAGACTGATAAGATAGACTTGGTTGTCACAGACAAAGGGTGCAAGGAGGGTTATAGATAATATTCTCTGCATTTTAAAATTTATTTTCAGTTAAATAGAAAAGCCCCAAACTGGCCTCCTAGCAGTCTCACAGCCCCTTTCCATCGTCTCTTCATCCTCACCTTCCTCCCATGGGCTGAGCAAGCCAGAGATGAGTTCCTAGCACTTCCACCAGGGCCTCTTTGGTGTTGCAGGTGGGGCCACGCACCACCCCCACCCAGACGCACTGCCTCTGCAACCACCTCACCTTCTTTGGAAGCACATTCCTGGTGATGCCCAATGCGGTTGATGTCCGCCAGACCGCCCAGCTCTTCACCACTTTTGAGGAGAACCCCGTGGTGGTAACCACTGTGGGCTGCCTTTGTGTCGTCTATGTGCTGTTGGTAATCTGGGCAAGGAGAAAGGATGCTCAGGATCAGGCCAAGGTGAGGTTGCTCGGTCCCAGGGGACAGAAGGGAGGACAGGGATATTCCCTCAGGTAGGGAGCCAAGAGCCCAACTGCTGATTTAGGCCTTGACCCCTGTGGTCATCTCGGGCTAACTGGTACCTTGATGTCTACCTGTCTGTAAAATGTCCTTTTTATCAAATAGCGGAAGGGTTATGATGCTGACCACTTACTAATGTTATTCCAATTAGTGCTCACAGCAGCACTAAAAGGAGAGTATCATATTGAACGTCCTCAAGACCACCCTCATGTTCAAGGATTTGCTAGAAGGTTACACAGACTCAGAAAAGCTGTTGTACTCATGATTCTGGTTTAATATGGTGAAAGAATCCCAGCTAAAATCAGCCAACGGGAGGGTCCAGGAGACCAGGAGCATGTCTAGCATCTTCTCCACTGGAGCCCAATGAAGAGATTTAGTTCTCTTAGCAATGACATGTGACAATACAGGCAAAGGACTGCCCTGAGCCAGTGTCCAAGGGTTTATTTGGGCTCAGCAACACAGGTATAGTTAGAAACATACTTATGCTTAACATAATTCACCTGACTGACTTAAGTTCCTCAGTCTCCACCAACCCCTCTCATTTCTACTCAGGTCAAACTGACATGGTGTGGTGCAAAGCCCTCACTAAAAACCACACTGGTGGCCTAGACTACTTGGAACCACCCAAGGTCTGGGTGTTGAGACATCCTCATCATGCAGAATATTCCCAGGACTTAAAGGCCGGGAGTTGCTTAATACCCAATCTGGTCTTCAGAGCATGCAAGTTTTGGACAACTTTAGCCTGTTGAGTTCATCATTTATTGCCTCACAGAGGTTCTGAGAGGGCAAGGGCTCTGGAGCCCCAGGAGTCAAACCTGGGCCCTCCATGGTGGTGCAGCAGGTTAAAGCGCAGCACAAGCTTTGTGACAAAGCTTGTCACATCTGCTTCAGCACCAGCTCCATCCCCAATAGGGAGGTGAACTACACGGTGCAGTAGACCTCTCCTGTCTCCCTGCTGCTCCTCTCAGCACTGTAATTCAGTCAATCTGCCTGTTCTGCTCCCCCCTCTGTCTCTGGTGAATTCTCTTAGCCCCTGCACCTCTGGCCTGCATCCCAGCTCCTTTATGCATAAGTAATTCTTAAAAAAAGAAAGAAAGAAAGAAGTCAAGCTTGCTGACCATAGAAATGCCATTGGACAGAGGTCAAATTTGCATGCCAAATTGCAAAAACCAAGTTCTAATTATTATGTGTACAACAAGCGTGATACATATGAGCCTCCAAAACCTACTGGTGAACATCAAAGGAAGCACCTAAGTGCAGGCAAAGATGCTCTGTCACAAATTCTGGAATAGCTGCAATTTCTACCCTCCCCACATACATCAACATCACTCAGAATGTTAAGGTGGTACCAAACATAGTATCAGCTTCAGCATTTTTATATTGCAGTCTTTGATTCAGCTGAAGAGTAGTACCTCGGCCATAGCAGGCTCTCTGGAAGTCACTTTGAGATGAACTGAGTCTTAGGGTGTTTAGCAGGAACTGCCTGGGATCAGCACCTGGGGAAGGAGGGAAGGAGGCAGAAAGCAAAGCGAGCAGTAGCAGCCCACTGTGAGTCAACTGACCCCTGGGGAGCCCCTGGCACTGTCCCAGGTGGGTTGAGGCCCCCAGACCTTGGTTACACTGTCACTGGATGTTGCCTCCCCAGGAGTGTATGTGAAATTTGGCTCTTTCATCCTGACAATGACACGCTGGCAACTGGGGTGACAAACCCCACACTGAGGGTAGATCAGGGATCACCAACCTCACAGGAGCCTCTAACCAACTTTGGCTATTTTTTTCTTTTTGCTAAGCTATCTCCATTAATTTAAAATTCCACAGAGGCAAACTCTGGTTATCAGTGTCATCATGAACAAGGTTCATGGCATTTACCAGGTCAAACATTAAACATTCTCACCTTAATATAAAACTCATTTTCAAATTTACTACTTTGGTCATAGTTAATAATGAATGAAAGTTGTACTCTTTAAAGTGTTTTGTTCTTACTTGTTCTCCTCTGACAGAACAAATACATAATATGCATAATTTTACTCCCTCTTTGAACTAATGAATGCCTAGTCTACTCTTAGCTGCTGTAGCAAAGAGGAATCCACCTCGTGGACCTGACAGCATCCTTCCTTGCAGGTGAAGATCACAGTGCTGGAGGACAATGACCCCTTTGCCCAGTACCACTACCTGGTGACAGTCTACACCGGACACCGGAGGGGGGCAGCCACTTCCTCGAAGGTACCTGGTTGCTCAAGACCCCTCATTCAATCCACTGCCCCACCCAACAAAGCACTCACCAGGATACTGTTGACTTACTTTACGCAGTGGATTTGTATTGTAGGTTTTACCCTTTTAACTTTTTTAAAGCAGGGAATCTTTGGGTCATATAAATTAACCTAAGCCCAATAATTAAAGAGACAGAGGAGGAATGGATGAAGGAGATTTGTGGTTTAATCATGTGCTAGTGACCAAGTCCCTGATCCCTGCCACAGAATAACTCACAGTTGTGTACCTTCATGCAACTGTACCCATACATGAAGAACAGTCAGTAAATGATTATTAAGTGAACAAAGAGAAAACAATGAGAGAAAGTGGACACTATTTAAAAGCAAGTCTTGCATGACACTTTTTAAGTAAACTGATCAGCTCACATTTCCCTGAGAGGTCAGGCTGAACACCTACCCCTGAGTAGGCTAATTAGAGGGGGTGAAAAATGAGGTCACACGCGCATGGATGCTCTAAACCGTGACCACTTAGTTGCATAGCACACAAGTTTCTAACATCTCAGCATCCTTAGTTAAGTATAGCCTGCACCATGTCCCTCATCAGCATATATCATTCCTTGCTGTGGCCATCAAGGCCCAAGGGTCCTTAACTGATACTGGGGGCTCCCCTGAACAATTTGAGAAACACGTGGCACTGTGTGCTATTTGGAAGAATGCTCCTTGAGGCTTCCTTCAAACTGACATGAGGCTTCAAGAGAGCAGGGTGTTTGCCGGTTTACTTTTTTTAATCTCCTTTTTATGTGTATTTTTGTTTATTTTCTTATTGCTGTTTTAAAAATTATCTTGTTTGTCTTTATCACTGTGTCTTAGGTCCTGAACCAGCTGTTTAACACAGTACATGCTCCGTAATTGTGCAAGCTCTGTAACTATAGTTGCCTAAATGTAGGAATCACTTTCATCCTTCTAATGAAATATCCATCTCACTTCTGTTTGACACTGAAGAGTCAACTTTGGCAGGAAAGAAGTGAAACCCGTGAACCACAGACCATTTCTTTTCCTAGAGAGTGGTCATTTCAGTGCAATGTTATCTGACCTTGGATTCTCTCAGCACAGGGGTTCTCAAAAGGAGTTCTGCTGTGCTGGGGCTGGGAGGTGGGGTGGGGCAGGACACTGGCCATCTTAGAGGGAGCTTTCAGCTGTCACAGCTTGGGAGAGGGGGAGATGCAGCCAGCTTATAGTGGGTAAAGGCCAGGGGTGCTGTTAAAACATCTACAAAGCACAGGACAGCCCCGCCCAAAGAAATGATCCAGCCCAAAATAGCCACAGTGGAGACACCCTTGTGTAGAAGCAGAAACAACAAGGATTTGAGAACATTAGTTGATTTTAAAGGGGCTCCCAGGGCAGAGGTAGGGCAATGGAAAGCCAAACAAGGAAAGGAAGGAATGAAATAAATTGCACACTAGTAAATTGGTTAACGCAGTGGGCCACTGTTGTCTAATCTCTCTGGGGGTTTCTGGAAAATAGCAAAGAATGTGGGCTTCAAAGTCATCAGGTGAGGACTGAGGGAGCTGGGGGTATGTATCCACCAACCCCACCAGACATTGATGGAGGATGGCTTGCAGGAACCATTAACTCCCTGGCACTTCCAGTCTGCAACTCTAACAGTCAAAGAAAGCTCCCTGCTGCGGGCGCAGGGAGTGTTGCAGTGAGAGGACAAGGCATAGCCTCAGAGTGTCAGTGATATCTGCTGTGGCTGTTTCTGGCCCACATACATGCCCACCAGCATCACTGGCCCTGTCACTGTGTTCTTCATAGGTCTGTAATGAAGCCTGGGAATATGTATTTTCAAGGTAGCAAGTACAAATTAATTTGACTCACCCCAGGAAACTCTGAGAAGCACTGGGAATGTACTTATTAGGGAGAAAAATAAGTTCAATACATGGCAAATTTGAAAAGGCTACCAGAAAGCATTTTATAAATATAATTCAATCTGAAGACATTAATGCAGATTAGACTCACCCCAAATCTTACTACAACTGAAAAATAACTCCAGCAAACCCAAGGTGGGAAGAGAGGGTGACAGGGATGAACATCACTGCCATTCATTGGTGTTCACACACTTGCAATCTAACACTGATTATCAGTTACCACAAGGCCACTCTTGGTCTCTGCCTTTTAGGTGACTGTCACCCTCTATGGGTTGAATGGAGAAAGTGAGCCCCACCACCTGTCAGATCCCGACACCCCAGTTTTTGAGCGAGGAGGAGTGGATGTCTTCTTACTCTCCACCCTGTACCCTCTGGGAGAACTGAGGAGTCTGCGGCTGTGGCATGACAACTCAGGGGACCAGCCATCCTGGTGAGTCAGCATAGTGCAAACCACAAAGACCTACCAAGCTCCAGGACCAGGGCTAGGCACTGTGCGTTTGCTCTCTGCTGAGCCACTGTGCCTTTGCAAGAACCATAAAATTAATCCTCATTTCAGCTGAGGAAACTGAGGAAACTGAGAGACCATGAGCCCAAGGGCCACACAGGATGATGCAGTTTAGAAGAAGGGGTGCAAGTTGCAGCCCCTGGAGTCAGCCCATCTGTGCCCACCTGTGCAGCATCTTTCCCCATCTATAGAATATGGCTATGGTGTCTATGGTGAAGACAAACTCAGCAACAGGAGACTAAATGTGACACTGACCCACCATTAGAACTCAGAACAGTTGCAGGTTGCTGTGTGCCAAGCTAAGCCTTTCTGTGCTCAGAGATAAGGTCTGCTATGACACTCCTTTTTCAGGGAGGAAGGTCTAAGCTCTGGGAAGATAAGTGACATTCCCAAGTTCCCACAGTTGGCAAGCTCACATCCAAGACTCCTCCCCATTCTGAGGCCAAAACTAGTGAGACAGATGAGTGTTTCTCAACTGGTGATTTATCAGGGGTTGCACCATTAGAAAAACAGGATTAAACTGTTGTCTTTGATTTACCCAAGGAATTAAAGATTACTATCTTAAGGGCTGGAGAAGCTGGAAAGCTGACTTTGTGAGGGATTGAGCCTGTTTATCAAGTGCCTGGGGTCAACCCCTGGGAAGGATGGTAAGGAGGAAGAATGGCAAAAAGAAAAGTTTCAATGCAGCACAATGTCAGCTTGGCTGAACTCTAGAGAGCTTAAAGAAGCTCTCCATTTGGGCTGAGAGGCCCCAGTTTTTATCACACCTAGGCACCACACCCACCAGGCATGGATTTTGGCCACCCCAGGCGGGCATGTGGCAGATATTACTCTTGCATGCCCCATGGGACTGCCCTTCCTGAATTGAGAAAATGCTGTGAAAGTTTCTCCGCATCATCTCCGTCATGTGGTAAGTGCCCATGGGCCCTCCAAGACAGAATTGTTTCTCTTCAAAGGGAAATGCCTTCCAGTGGATCTGACTGTCTGGCAGAGGTAAGATGATTTCACTTTTTCCCCTGGGTCCAAAGTCCCAATCAGGTTAGATGACGCCCACAAAGTGCTGAGTCTGAGATGGCAGACTCATCGCCTGGCTGGAAGCTCTGGAAGATCAGGTGTGTACTTCCTCCGGTGCCTCCCCAGGGACACCCCCTTTTACCTGGACGCTGGCCTGGGGTTGGTCACTCTGCACAAAGCTAACAGTTTAGGCTACACCGTCTTGCAGAGTGGTTTCTGTGGCAGCCTCATGCTCTGGCTCTCTACACTAGCGAACTCCCCACAAGAAACCACATTTACCCACTGACTGGGATGTTTTGCTCAAGGCACCCAGAGCAATGAAGAAAAGATCTTTTTCTATGAGCTCTTGTTTAGAGCACTCACATTTGCAAGCTGTTCGGTTCTTGGTATCCGAAGAAGTCTCACACCCTCTATGCCCAACCTTGTCCTCAAAAGCATGCTCCTTTCTCCAGGTATGTGAGCCGGGTGCTGGTGCATGACCTGGTAATGGACAGAAAATGGCATTTCCTCTGCAACTCCTGGTTGTCCATTGATGTTGGAGAATGTGTCCTTGACAAAGTGTTTCCAGTGGCCACAGAGCAGGACAGGAAACAATTCAGGTGTGGGTTTTGTTTTGTTTTTTTTTTCCTTTTAAAGTAAATAAATAGTACTTTACTCTGTACTTTATTTCTAGGGAAGTAGCATCTTGACCCAGTCACAACCAAGCACATTTTAGCTAGTGGCCTGTGTAGCTTGAGACTGTGATGTTCAATGACTAGTTTGCTTTTTATTTTTTTTAAGATGTATTTATGCATACAAGAGCTGGGGTGTAGGCTAGAGAAGCAGGGCTGGGGAGAGAAGGTGAGAGGATTCACCAGAGACAGAGTGAGAAGCAGAACAGGGGGGTCTACTGAAATACACTGCTGAGGAGAGCAGCAAGCAAGACAGGAGAGGTCTGCTGTGGCATGTGGGTCAGCTCCCTGGCTGGAATCGAACTCATGCTGCAATGGCTGCAGCCAGCTTTGTAGTGCTTTAACCCCTTACACCACCAGAGAAACCCAATGACTAGTTTTTCTTGTTAGGAATAAGGGTCGCTGGACAGACATGTACCTCCAAGACAGTATTATTTCAAGGTGGCGAAATATCTTCATAAGGTATTTTCCTATGAATGCCACCAAGTATAGTTTATATGAGAGGTTGATTTGAATGGCAACTCAATGTCTGCCCACTGGGGTGTATTCTTCATGTCATTTCACCCAAGATGGGCATCTCAGTTTGTGCACCCTTTGCTTGTTTCCCCACCTCATTCCCTATTGTACATTCCTCTACATCTCTCTCCAACACACAGCAGAAGATACAAATGTATGCAGGTGTGCACACACAAACCTCACTATAGATGGTATTTACTTTGAATCTTTTAAACCGACACATTAGGGGCCTCCCTGGTGGTGTAAGGGGTTATATCTCAGCACTATGAAGCTGTAGCCAGCTACTGTAACAACAGCTCCATCCCAGGCCCGGGAGGTGATCCACACCATGCAGAAGACCTCTCCTGTCTTGGTTCGCTGGTCCCCTTAGCAATGTATTTCAGTAGATCTGCCTGTTCTGCTCCCCAGAGTGTCTCTGGTGAATTCTCTTACACACACACACAAGCACACGCACACACACACACTCTTCCCCCCCGACCCTCCCTGCACCCTTGATCTACACCCCAGTTCTTGTATGCATAAATAAAGTAAACCTTTTAAAATAAAATAAAATGACACATTACTCCAAATGTATTACCCTTTTTGACTTTTATGGTATATCCTCCCAAAAGAGCATGTTTGGGTAAAACTTTTCCTTGTTAGCTGCATGTTTCCATAGAATGGCTGACCCACAGCCATGGACATTCCTCCTACTCATGAGCATCAAGTCTTTATCCAATGCATTTACTCAGGTGACTTTTCTTTCCAGCTGCTCTAAGGAGTGAGCAGCTCAGGCTTCAAGGTGGAGTAAAGTCAGAATCAGAGAGATTGGACCCCAAGAGAGGTAAAACACAGATGTGGGTGCAGACCTACTCTCCTTCTAATTATAACAAATCCTAGCCTAATTATAATAAAATTATGATAAAGCCAATTATGATTTTGTTAAGTTATAGCAAAACTAACTCTAGCTACATTACTGCATAAAAATTATAACAAAAATAATCTTGCTAATTAGATAATGAATCTGTATGCCAGTTTCCATGCCAAATGCTTTGTGAAACTGATCACTTTAATCCCTCAGCCATCAGTGAGGCAGGTTTTGTTCTTACCCCCATTTTATAGATGAGTAAACTGAGATGCAAAGAATAAAATAAGTTGCCTGAGGTCATGGTCATAAGAAGAGCAATTCAGCATTCCAGCCCAGCTCTGTCCAGAGTCCCCATCATTTGCTCTAAATGACATTGCTGTGACAATTTACAGAACCAAATCCTCCTTCTCATCCCAGGACCAGTTCCAAGAGACCAGTCTCTTTTCAAGCCTGTGTCCCTAAATGCCCGTCCCTCTCCTGCCCACCCACAGCCACCTGTTTCTCATGAAGACCTCCTCAGGCTTCCAAGATGGACATATTTGGTACTCCATCTTCAGCGGCTCAGCCCGGAGCAACTTCACCCGAGTCCAGAGGGTGTCTTGCTGCTTCTCCCTGCTGCTCTGCACCATGCTGACCAGCATCATGTTCTGGGGAGTCCCCAAGGACCCAGCTGAGCAAAAGATGGACTTGGGTAATTCCCGCTGCCAAGGCAGTCAGGGCTAGTGGCTGGTAGACATGACTGTCCCTTGCTCAACAATGCCACACAACTCAGATGTGCCAAGATCACCTTTAGGCTCAAACATTCACGAGACAGACATGCAGACCTCAGAAATGCCATTATACTCACACTTAGGGAAGCGAAAGAATGCAGATTAAAATTAGGAAAGGGAAGAAGCACAAGGGCAGGATCCAGGAGAGACCAGAGGTGGCAAGTCCAGCTGTCCACTCTAAGGAAGCCACAGTGTGTGTGGCAATGTGTATAGAGTGCTGCCAATCACAGACACCCCCACCCCGAGCCTCAGTGTCCAGATTTCTTTCTGTGGTTCAGTCACATTCACATAGCTGACTCCTTGTGTGGATGACCTTGGCCTCCAGCCCTGCCAGAGGGTGAAGTGATTCCATTTGGACAGGACCCCTGCCATAAATTACATTAGTGCAGACTAAGATGAGTGTGGAACTAAGACCCTAAGAACACAAAGGTGTACCCACCAGGCAGGACACCCCAAGAAAGTCAGTCAAAAGGGCGTCTTAGGGTAGTCAACCCTTTACTGTACAGCTGCCTTCTGGAAGGGGGGGAGGGGATTGGGCTCTTGGGGGTGACCTCTCCTGTTGTTCTTTTTGCTTCCCTTTGCTTCAGGTAAAATTGAATTCACTTGGCAGGAAGTGATGATTGGGCTGGAGAGTTCTCTCCTCATGTTTCCCATCAACTTCCTGATAGTTCAGATCTTTCGAAACACTCGGCCTCGGGTCACTAAGGAGCAGGGCCCTGGGAAATGGGTCCAAGGGTCCCACTGCCTGGTCCCCTCACTGCAATCTGTGGAAGATGACCTTCTGACACCTGAAGAGCTGACCAAGGTATGTTGATAATCTCATAGATGTGGGGGTGCTCCAGCAGTGAGAGTAGAGACAGGGGCTCGGGGCCTAATAACCCCATGCTCAGCCACCAAGATTCACCAACTACAATGCACACATGCATATACATATGCACATGTACACATACATGCAAGTGTATGCAATGCGAGTGTGTGCACCCAGACATGTGCACATGTAGGCATAGTGCAGTCAGTTCCAACACAGAAACATACAAGCACACTCATTACCTACTATGTGTAAAACAATATATCTGCACTACAGAGCTGAGGCACTCAACAGGCAAGTATTGAGCACCTATTGTGCTAGACCTTGAGGGCAACAGCCTGGAATGCCTCAGCTCAAGTCCTAAAGAAGAGATTTTATAGAAGACAAAATAGAGGCTTGGAGAGATGCAACATCACTTATTAGTGGGTCAAGATGGGCGTCAAGCCCAGATGGTCCAGCCTCAGGGAGAATGTTCCTGCCCCTTTTACTGTCCCCTCACCTATGGCTCACTTTCATTAACTTCACCTGGGCTGACTTGCAGGACGTGTGGAGACTTGTCAGTTCCCTGTTCAAAGCTCTGAAGTTGCCATCCCCTGCCCTGGGCAAGGACTCCACAAACTTGATGGACATCAACCAATTGCTGGCCTTGGTGGAAGATGTTTGTCTGCAGAATATGGCAGAACAGGTGTCCTGGGAGGAAGCCAAGCTGAGGGAGGACACTTTAACACTCACTGTGGTGCCTGTGCAAGTGACAGGTAATAAGCCCTGACATGTCTGGGCCAAGAGAGGCAAGTAGGAAGCAGGTAGAGACACTACTGAGGACCCTGTCTGGACACTTGGGGGTCAAGAAGTTTTCCTAAAATCCCCCTTACCTCCTGCCAACACTTGCCACCTCTTCCTCTCTGTACCTCAGGCACCTGCTCTCCTCACCACGTTAAGCAGCTTCCCATTAAGGGTTTTCAGACCTCCTAGTCCTTTCTGATAGAAAGTATTTTCTCAGTTCTTCAGTTGGCCAATGCCTACTCAAATTTCAGTCTTGACTAAAACACCCCTCCCTCAGGGGAGCAGCCCACACAGAGTCTGCAATTGCTCTTTAACCCTTAAACTTTCCTTGCTTCACACAGCTTGTGTGAAGAGTTGTTTAAAGTCTGGGGCATGAACTCTGTAAGAAGGCAGCCATCTAACCCTCTTCTCAGTAGTTTCCTGGCGCCTGGCTGGGAACACACTGCTGGGAACACATTTGCTGGCAACAAACATTCATTCCTTGGATGACCTCAGCACAGGAGGTCCTTACGGAATGTGCAGAGCAGAAGCATTTTCTTCTCTCACGTGTAATAAGAGGAGCTTTGGCCAGCCTGGTACTGGGGGCAGTAGGCACAGCCTTCTCTGGGTAGAGGCTCTGCCACTGACAAGTTGTGTGACCATGGATAGGGTTGCTTCTGTTCTCTGAGTCTGTTTCTTTTTCTGTAAAGAGTTAGGGAGTTCAAAGTGGAATTCTCCCAAATGCACAGGGTTGGATACCAGATGATGGACTGGCAAGTGAGAAACATTAAATAATACTGAATTCTCAGGATGAAAAAGTTACTCCTTCAAATAAGTCAAGAAGTCTCAGTTTGGTACTTCTGTGTCTTTATCCTGTTAAGTGAGATAGCAAAGCTCAAACTCAGAGCCTTTTGAAACAATATTATGATGGTTTAGTGCCACTGTTTCATTTTTATCATGTTCTGTTTGCTACATTTGAATCAGTCTGATTCCCTCTTGACCTTTTCCTTTCCATCTTCCACCCACATCAATGCTGCCAGAGGTTGACCCAGGAGGTCCAGTAGAACTTCCCCTATGGGAATATCCTATGTCTGCACTGCCCAGTACGGTGACCACTGGCCACATGGAGCTGCTGAGCACCTGAAATCTGGCCAGTGTGCCTGAGAAAGTGATTTTTAAACTTTTTTTGTTTGAAAAAATTGTTTTCACCAATATAATTTAAATAGCCACATGTATTGTGGCTGCCAAATTGGATCCTGAGTTAAGAATGCTGCCATATTTAACATACAAGGCTGGCTATTAGCTATATCTTGTTTAGAACACACATCTGATGGACAGAATGAAATGTGAATTCATAACTCTTAGGCCCACATCTGAATTAAATTTTCTGGGTTGAGGCCAGGAATTTACATTTTTAACCAGTCATTTTGGTGACTTGTATGTATTCTGAAAGTTGGGGATGACTCAAGACAAACCTTCAGCTCCTTACCATAGCCCTCAAAGACATCCTGGCCAGGCTGTGCTAACCCTGTGTCTGGCCACTCTGGAGGAACTGCCCCCACAGGATGCTCATGACAGAGACCCTGCAGGAGCTGTGCTCATGCCTCTGCTAGATACTGGCTCTATGCCAGGGGCCTCTGACATTCATTGTATGCACTTTAGAACTTCAAAACATGGAGTTGGCTAGTCCCTGGACTTTCCCAGCTACAACAGCAGCTGTGCAATCTTGGACAAGTGGCACAACTTTTCTGAGCCTTGATTTCCATGCTCACAGCATGGAAATATTGATCCAACTAGTTCGTTGACTTGTTCCAAGAATTAAATGAGATCATGAGACATGCCAGCCTGACACAAAGCAGGTATTCAGTAAGTGTTATGGCTGGGGGTGATCTTCTGGAAACATTGCCAGGACACTTTAATACATAGGTATATTAAATCCTGGAACTGTCAGCTGAGGCTTCAGTGAGGGTGGTCCAAGAGGGAGAGGGAAGAGGCTTGAATCAGAGGGAGGCAGTTTTCTTTGCCATGAGCCTTTACTAACATACCTGGAAGCCTGCGTGGCCACCCAATCTCTACCCTGTCATGCTATCTTCTCACTGGTGACTAGGAAGGGATGGGGTGCTCCCTTTGCCATCTCTTATAATCATTTTCATGCACCCCTGGTATGAGACCCAGGTCCTCACTGCCCCAGAAGCAAGTGTTCCCAGTTAGGGCCCAGGGACTCAGGCGACATTCTGCCTACAGAGGCCATGCTTCCGGGAGCAGACCAGGTAAGGAATAAGGGAAAGGCCCACATTTGCTTGTTTCCTGTAATGAGTAAGAATTACTGGTGTAATCTGAAGAATTACCTGTTTAAAACAATTTTTTCAGGAAGTTGAAATTTGAACAAACCAACCATAGGAAAAATATATGAGCTAATTAGGAAAAACCTGATCACCATTGCATATTGGAAGGTATTAAAGGATTACTGTTAACCTTTATTTAAAGATTGATAATGCCATCATGGTTCTGTTTTCAAAGTGTCAGTGAAGCAGATTAAAAGAGTCAGTGAGTGACAGTGAGTGACATGGGATTAGAATTTGCTTTGAAATAAACACAAGGAGAAATTGGGTGGGTTACATGGCCCACAGCCATGAGTTAGTAATATGGGCATATACTAAATTAGCTCACTATTCTCTCAATTTTAATAAATTTTCATTTTTTCCCAAAGATTTATTTATGTACACAAGAACTGGAGTATAGGCCAGAGGTGCAGGGGATGTAAGGATTCACCACAGACAGAGTGGGGAACACAACAGGTAGATCTGCTGAAACACAGTGCTGAAGGGAATAGCAGGTGAAACAGGAGAGGTCTGCCATACCCTATGGGTCACCTCCGGGCTAGGGATTGAACTTGTGCAGCAGTGGCTGTGGATAGCTTCATAGTGCTGAGACTTAACCTACTGTACCACCAGGGAGAGCCCAAATTTTCATAATAATAAATAAGTTAAAAACAAAACACAAGAAGACAAACCATGTTCAGCAATAGGCAAACTTGAGTTTAAATGCAACAAGGTGAAATTATTCATATTAAGATAACTGCTGATGAGGTAACACTCGACACAGGGTTTGCTTTAAGGTGTAACAGACAAAAAGTGATGGATGGTGGGAGCAGAGCTGAAACAAGGTTGACTGTGGCTACAAGGGGGAAGGGATCTATTTTTTTCCTTTCTCCTCTGTATGAGGAAGTTTTGATAAGAGGCTAAAGGAGGAACATTCAAGTCCTAACTGGCTCTGTTATCCTAGTACCCCATCTTTTTGAACCTCAGGTTTCTCATGGCTTGGCACGTCTTAAATGCTATCACTACAAGCTGTTCCCAACAAAACTTAGGCAAAGTGGTTCAACTGATTTCATATCCTAAAGTATAAAAGAGAAGAAAAATAACTAACCTTCTCTTCAAGGTTTGCTTTCATAGGCCATATCAGCAAATGGCTCAGCACCTGAGCAAAACAGACACAACTAACACTGAACTGACTGGAGCCAGGAGTCTGTGAAGCGGAGAAGGAAGGGTGACCCAGAGGCACAAGGCCCACTAATAAAACTCCAGTTATCTGAAAAGACATCTGATGCCTCTTCGTGCATGAGCTCCCCTGTGACCAGCCAATGAACTCCAGCCAATTCCACACTTCTTTGCCCCTAACCTGCTTTTCAGTCAATACAATTTCACTCCCTTATTTTTTTTTTAAGATTTATTTATTTGTGTATACAGAACTGGAGTACAGGCCAGAGGCTCAGGGGGGGCGAGAGGCTTCACCAGAGACAGAGTGGG